TGGATATGGGTACCCATATGGCCAACTTAGATTGAGGTGGGGGTGGGTAGGAGGAAGTATCCATTTTCTGCAAATGCATCTCTTTTTAATGGAATGTTGCAGTGGGTTTTTCCAGGATCCTTACATATCCCGAGGACACACAAATCCCTTTAAACTGTATCTGGAGACTTATTTGGAGAGCCCAGCCCTGCGCGAGCTATAGTCTGAACTCCTTAAAGGCGGGTAAAGGGGATTAATACAGGGGACTGCAATAGCGATACTAGGAGGTTCGACTATGGCTCACATGGTTGTGGCTCAGTTATTAGGTTTGGCTTTAGATGATCAAAGGCAAGGTCTCAGCGTTCACGGTCGCTTGAAGGGTCAGGGGAACGAACTTACACCGGAGTAAGTATACTTATAACCTAAGCCATACAAGAATCCTAGATTTCCCCATTGAACCCATTTGCTCAGTCTCCATGACCACCAAGGTCTCTAAACCCTGAAACCTGAACCGTAAAGCCTAAAACCTACTAAGTCCCCACAGGCCTCCAAGTCAGGCTTGGGGTGGCTTCAGGTTCATGGCAGAATATAGGGATGACTGAGGCGTCACATGTCCAGCTGGCTGCCAGACAGTCATAAGCCCCAAACCTTGAATTCTGTAAACCCCACATACAGAACCTCACTGTCCATTTCATATTCCACAGGATTCTCCATTGGTGGTTGGGCGAATGACTCCTATGTTTCAACAAAATGCCTTTGGCGCCCCACCTCCACTCCCCCAATAAAGTACCCCTATGGAATAGGGGAAGATTCATGATTTGAAGGTGGGGTTGATGGGGGAAGTCTGTAGGTCCTTAGGATCCTGAAGGGAATTCGACATCCGATCCCTGTTTGGCACATTCTGAGCGGTCATGAAAGGGACGTAGCCGTCTCAAAACGTATGGTCTGCACGTCCTAGGTGTCCGGTAAGGAACCTTATACGTTTTGTACAAGTAGGTAAGTAAGGAAGCAAGCAAGCAAGTAAACAAAAGCCGCGATTGAATCTAATCTGAAAGGTGTATCTTAGCAACGCCTTAGATAGTGGACAATGAAGGTCCAAAATCCTAAGCCACGTGGATCCCAGCCAGGTTTCTTTGACCGTGCTTGTGGTCCTGCTGATTGCGGAACAGTTTCTCCGATTTGGGGTCCTCTTCTTGGCCAAGTGGCTGCTAATCGGTCGCTACCGTCCAGGCGAACATGACATCTATAGCATGAGGCTGGGCTGCAAAGGATGAGGCGGATTCCTAAGGGCCCCCCAATAGTACTCCCTCTATATCCCATTATAATAGTAGTTTCCATGTTCTTTTCATTCTCCCTAAACCCTAATCCTATACCTTATATACCCCATTATAGGAGTTTCCATTTTATTTTCCATTATCCCGTGTATCCCCTGTGTAACCCTAATGTTGCCCTAATGGGTACTTGTTATTTGAAGGATGGGGCGCAGGGACCAAACTGCAAGGTGTGGGGGCAACAAGGAACAACTTGTAAGGTCATAGGCGTCGTAGAGCTTACAGTGCTTTGGGGTTTGGGAATAGCTATCCCCACGAAGCCAGTTCAAGCATGAGTGCTGCTTTGAGGAATTGCCATCATAGGGATGGAGGCTGAATAAGTAGGTGCCAAGCCCCGTTGCAATGCCATTTGCCGCAGGCTCATTCTTGCTTCAGGTACCTTGAACCTTTGAACACCCTAAACCCCAAACCCTAAACCCTAAAACCCTAAACCCTAAACCCTTAAGACTTGAAAACTGGCAAAAGGCGAGCTCTCTCAAGGCCTGTGGCTCCAGCCCTGCCACCCAGCCAGGAAGTAAATCTGAAAGTTCCCAATTAAGGCCCCAACCCCGACCCCCAGCCATATGTGCCTGCATGCTGTGTGGTTTAGGGTTTAGTGTTTAGGGTGTCTCGCGGCTTAGAGTTTAGGAGTTCCTTGAATAGACCCCCCGAGATACCTGCGTTTTGACGGTAAGGAACACTGGAGAAGGATCCGACTCGGAAACTGATGTGTAGTCTTGAAGCTCTAGTGCTTGAATTCTGTATACATCCCAGGCCCTAAAGAGCTAAATGCTGCTAATCGTTTATCCTCGCCTCTGCAAGCCTCACGCAAACTCAGGATGTATCTGCGCCACTGGATTGTTGAGTTCCTTGCAAAGGGCGCCATTGTCGGCCAGAACGCTCATCAGGGAAGCTGGTCTATCATAGAAACCAGACTCGCTGCTTGCGATTCTACTGCATGATGCCATCAGGCGAGTTCGTACTCTATTCTTTGAGTGGCACTGTCGCAAGTCAGGTACCCACATTGTTTACCACTCCGTGTAAAGATCCAGTGTATGTCACAGCATGCCTCAACTACTATATTGAAGCTGCGTAGGCCAAGGCATGCCTAATTTCCATGGCTGCAAATGTTGCAAAACTGTTTCATGCAATAGAAGGGTTTAGGCTTAGTGGTCAGGGCTCGAATTTTTGGAGCGTGCCCCAACACCATCATTGGATAAGGAGCCTTTACCCTCAAGAACTCCCGCCAGCATAGATCATGCGTGAGCCAAATGAAAGATAGAGTCAAGCTTCGGGACACATTACACTACAGCAACAGAAGGGTTGCCAGCGCAAATAATGCTTCAGCGGCTTCTTTTGTTGCGGTAGGTAAAAGTTGGATAAAAGATGTGATATGAATATATTAAGCTCTTAATATGACCCCTTGTACAGATTGTTGAAGGAGCATCTTGATTCCTTGCAAGAGCCCATGGGGCCTGACATCAATCCAAGGCTTAATTTGGTTTGGCGTAGCATTCAAGAACTCGGGTGTGACACCCACTGTCGGGCTATTCAAGTGCCCAGTATAGACAGTGAGATTATGTCTTGTCCTCCTTAGTGTTGCAGAAGTTTTGATTTTTACCTGAAGCCCGGAACTGCACGTGAACTGCAATCACTTTGACAGGCCTCTTCACATAAGTGTAGGTGAAATGTTGTTGAGGCTGTTGCTTTACCGTGTAGAAGCCTCAATAGGGCTTCAGGGTTTAGGGCAAACGCGTCATGCTTTGAACGCCTCAGATCCCTGTAATATACCCTCTACTACATGAGTGTAGCAGGATAGACCGCAACAACTTATTGTCACTGCTTAGGCTCCTGCATGAGGCAGCGAGACTTCTTGTGTAAGCTAAAGCTGGTGTTTTATGATTTATGACGGGTCAGGGTTGAGAGTTTTGGATACATTGTTCCAGATGCCCAACACCAGTTTGCCTTCAGCTTTCGCAACAGATTCTTTCAGGCTTAAATGGGTTTCGGGGGCCCGATATAGACCCCCCAAAGTTGAAACCTTGGACAACTCATCCCACGAGTTTTAGGCCTTAACGCCCTGAACTTTAAATGGATGTATAGGGGTTATAGGGGTTATATTCAGAAGATAGAATATGGTGTATATATATGGGGATTTTATTATAATATACCCAAAGCCATAAATATTCTATCTACTTAAGGGGGGGCTATACACTCACAACCCCCGACCTTGAACTGATTCCTGAAACCCAGACGCTCAGAGTCTGCATGTCAAACCTAGGCAGCAGCCTCGCGTTCCTCGTCGTCCGGAACTTGGCTCCTCGGATGACAAGACTAGCTGCCGGGGCATCTGGCGTGCAGAGAGTGTAAGTTCCTTTGTACAAAGTAACCAGGCAAGCAACAAAAAAAGCAAGCAGCCGTATAACCCAGTATAACCCCAATATAACCCTCATACATCCTATTATATCCTCAATATAACCCCAATAGGCAGACGGTGGGTTGCAGTAGATTTGGGGTGGGCATGGGGTGCAGCAGTGGCAGGAACAATAGAAAGCACAAACCAAGAAAACTTGAGAACGCTTGTCAGTCTTGCCAACGGTGAGCATATTGCACTAGTACTTACTGGTTCTTAGTTAGGGAACGAGGGAATATAATTCCTGTACAACCCCTATATACCATGTTGATGTTTTCCCTACTGAGAATGAGTCAGCTAGGCAAATGTGCACAGTAGAAGAGATTCCTCGCAAACCTCATGCTGCGATGTTGGTTGGCCATGCTCTGGTGTGCTGCTTATGTTGCTGAGAGAAGTCACACGAATTCCGGAGCACGACGCTGCAACTTATCTCCCCATTTTCCATGCAGGGTTCTTGTCTGGCCTAGAAGTGTGAACTCTAGAAATGCGGAAAGACCCTCAGTGCGTGTTGTTTGGGTCAGGGGCGCGCGCTCAGAAACAGTGGTATGACAAGAATTAATTAGGGCTCAGCGTTTGGGTAGAGCTCAATGGAAATACCTATATCCCTTGCGGTTACTATTAAAGTGCGGGGGGCCCAACCTCGAACCCAAAATACACCCAGTGTGCATGTCTTTCTCTTTGTTCTTGTCCATCTTATTCTGCGCTATTGGGGTAATATCCCCCGACTTCTATATAGTCCCTACATAGTCCAGGACCTATGATATAAATCCTATATAACCCACAACAGAGTATCCTGTACTTCCCAAACCCAAAACCCGAAACATAAACTGCGGTGTCCTGCGAAACCATGGTTGAGGCTCTCCGTGCTTTGGGCGCTAACATCTCCGTCTCTTCAGTGCTCACCGCCAGGCTTGAGACCTACTACAGCGCCCTAACTATTATGTAGGGTTTGAGGGTGTGGAGTTTAGGGTTTGAGGGTGTGGGGTTTAAGGTTTGAGGGTTTAGGGTTTGATGAACTCGAGTTTGAGGGTTTGGTGTTTTGAGTTTGAATGCTTAGGACTCAACTGGGCTCATACGGTTTTGTACAGGGTTCCGTAGGGGCGATATAGGGCCTTGGCGCTACCTCAACAATGGAGAATTTAAATTGGCAAGAAACGAAGTATCAAATGAATACTGGGGTCATGTAGGGGCTTATAGGCAATGTCTACCCATTAATGATTGGTCGTACCCAAGGGTCCCCCTAGTTTTTTAAATGAAAACTTTTGCCCCAAAACAAAACCCTCAACCGTGGCGGCCAGGGTGGTCGCCTATGACTTGGTCTCCGTCGGGGAGCTGGCTACAGTGCACGGCCCCAGGCATCCATGAAACTGGACTCCTGCGCCAAAAGTACACATTCATTCACATGCCATCCCTGAGGCTCTTCAAACCACTTGCAAGTAGGCCTCAAGCCCTGAAGGCATCTTACCGCTGTCAGCTATGGTCGCCGCTCGATGCGGCTGAACACCGTGGCCGTTGGTGCAGGAGGGCTTGGGTCTCGGGATGAGACTTTTGGGTTCAGGCTGAGGGGCGCGGGTTTTCGGGTGCAGTTCAGGGATTCTCGTACATCATCCCAAAGCAGATCAGAATACCTAGCAGACAACATGTGGTTCGGAGCCAAACCTGACTGCTGTACACGCCGACCTTCTCCAAAGAAACAAGTTTGAACCTGCAATTTGCGGCAGCACACGTGTTTTTTTAATCCATTGTGAAGTTGAAGTCTTTTGGTCTGCAACCCAAGCCACCCTGCAAGAAAGACTGGAAAGCGGCTAGATTCCGATAATAGTCAGTCCTCTCACAGAACCCAAACAGTGGCATCATATTTATCTCCAGGAGCTTACGTTGGTCCGAACTGCACTTTGGAACCCGGGTGCAGAGTCGTGGACGGGGCTTACGTGGAGCCACTCTCGTCAGTGCGAGAGGGACAGGTCGGGATCTCATCATGGATATTTTGGGTGTTCCGGTTGAGGGCGGAACAGCAAGCCACATAAATGATCAAAATCAGTCGATTCAAGCTAGGCCACTGAGAGTCACTGAATCCAAACAAACGACCTCTCTAGCCATCACGTGTTGAGGGGTTTTCTCAGGGGCATGCATGCCGGTTGCGTCATCGTTTGACCGTCAGGGTCCTTATCAGTTTTGTCGGCAAGTGGTTGTAGCTCCTCGTGTGGAGCAGTACATTGGATGGAAACTTATATCGAAACCGGACATCTGTGCTTTTCACATGCCAGCGTGCTATTAGTCAGTCCGACAGTGCATGACAGCAAGATCAAGAAAATTCGCCCACCCCAGCAACCGCCCAAGAAACATGGGTACTTAGCCCTATAGGCCCCTGCATAAAACCTGGTTTCATACTTTTCCTTTGGAGTTTACATTCTTGGTAAAAATCCTTAAGCTCCATGCGCATCCTCCATATACTCATTCCCTGTATGCCCCTAGATGATAAGCATGGAGGTACCGAGAGAGGAAGCTAAAGAATGATGGTTATTCCGCAACCAACAAGCTAAACTCGTTGGCCCAGTAACAAGTGGAGGGACCGCTAGGTGCTCCCTTGTAATGTTTAAGGCTTGCCAGTGACAGCCCAAATCCTGAACCCCAGACTGGAAACCAGAAGCCTTCAGATCCGTTCTTTAACGGTACCCAAAAGGAAGAAGTGGGAGTGGATCTACAAGAACCCTTGCCCCCTGCCTCTTTAACAACCCCCCGTATCTATGGTCGTAATACTATTACTATGATCATTCCTATTATTAGTACTTTCATTACTACTATTAATATTGTTATTGGGTGGGCACACTCCCTAAGATCAGCAAGGTATATGCGTACAGCCCCTGGATAACCCTCCCGTCGGGCGGAGCCGCTGCTCAGGTGGTCTCCGGCCGTGTCAGTGGGGTGCCAGCTGTGGAGGCTACGGCACTACGAGAGTAGTTTATTTGGGCTGCCAAGAATCAGGGGTCCCTCCTGTGAACAGGCAGACCTATGTTGAAAATTATATTTGGGGTGTATAAAGGGTGTCCTCATCTATGAAAAAAAAAGATGCAGGGCGGATTTTTGTGTTAAGGTTGTTCAAAGTCAGTTCAGGCTACTTAGCATAGGGTTCTGACAACATGGTATTGACATACGCCCAGGCTATTGAGGCCAGCAATATTGTAGTTTCCCAAAATAACGGGACCCCCATATAGACCCCAAAATACTATAGTCCTTATTATAGGGACCCCCAAAAAAGGTACCCCTAATCTAGCGAACTCCCCATATGTATAATCCATTGTTTGGGTTTTCTGCGTAGTTGGGAGGATTAGAGGGCGGAGGGTGCAGGGAGCACCGAAATGTTCTGGAGTCTAAACTCCTTAAAGGGGTTACACAGGGGATCATATTCGGGACGAGTATAGGGCTTATTACGGGGGATACTAGAAGTTGATCTCACCTTAAGATGAGCATTCTGCAAGTGGACTTCGATGCAGGCCTTAGGAAGGACCCCCCCCTCATCCCCACATGTTCCCATCGTATCCCAGGTAGCCCCATATTGAGAAATTCCTACATGCGCCAATGCTCAGAGAGGGTTACATGTTTTTCAGGATGTTAGGTTCGCGACAATTCCCCATATACGCCAAACAAACCCCCAAACAAACAAACAGGTTTCAAACACAAATTTGTCGGGAACTTGTACCAGGCTAAAGCAGCTTTCGGCCAACAGCGGTTGTAAGTAAGATAGCCTGAGAGCAAGGAGAAAAATCACGCAAAACTTGAACCCTTGACTCTCAACTCTAGACTTGTAAGTACCTCACCCCTTCGTTTCGTGGCCCCTAGCTGGCCCTAGCTCTTGAATTAAGCCTTAGCCCAGAAACCCTAGTCCTCTCCGACCTGAATTCAAAGCCCAAAACCTCCCGCCTCTGAATCCTACTCTCGTCCAGTCTAGCGGGAAACCCCAAAAGAGGCCCGATGAAGAATCTAGCCCCTTAGAGGCAGGCTGTCAGGGGTTGCAGGTTGATTAGTTTGGCGCAGGCTATCGATTAACCTTACACAAGTCATCGTGCATTTTCAATTATCCCAATATCAACCAACCTGTATACATATAAATATACATAAATATGTATGCATACACCTCTCTCTCTCTCTCTCTCTGTTGCTGTTTTCGTCTCTGTCTCTCCGCTTATATGTACCTATCCGTGTCCTTCTTCCTGCCTTCACAAGTCCGCATTAAATCCCGACACAGCCCCCCTCAGGGTGTTGCCCTTGAGGTGGCTCCTAGGGACGCCAGCCGCGTCCCCAATCAGGATGAAGCAGCTTATCTGAGTCCCTTCTGGAGGGGCCTCCAGAAAGCATTATTTTGGGGTATATAGCGGGGGATGGAAGTACCCATACGAGCGTTATTTCATTTGAGGACACTGTAGTTCCCAAGATAGAATTGAACTATCTCTCCCTGGTGGCCCTAAGCCCTAAACCATACTTGAGAAGGCAAACTGAATCCTACTGTGAGAAACCACCAAAGAAACAGTACTCATCTGGCTCATAGTCCTTGGGATGGTTGAGGGACTGGGATTGAGTCTAGGGTAAGGGTTAAGGGCGTAGGCTTTTGGGATGGGGGCTACGGGGTGTGGGGTTGTGCCTGTGGGGTTTAGGCTTTGGGCTTCTGGGTTTAGGGTTCCTCTTCCCCTTGTCTGTCTCTCTCTCTCTCTCTCTCTCTCTCTTGTGAACTCAAGTGTAGCCAAACTCACAAACTCAGAGCCCAAAGCCTGAACTTACTTCTAGTCCTTCCTGATCTAAATGCCCATCCCTACAGAGCAACAACTGAAGGACCCGAGCAATGCCATTGTAGCTCCTTGGGCTCCTGCAGCTCGCCGATTTGCTACACCCCTAAGTCTCGCATCCCTACAGTCCCAAGCCGTTGGAGCCTGGACATTTGAGCCTGGACATTTTAAACCCCAAATCCTGAACCTTCAACCCTAAACCGAACACCTCAAACCCTCAAAGCCAGAGGTCGCTTCCTTCATTCGCTGGGCCGCCAGTTTTGCCACAGGCTACTGGCTGCTGATGCTGCCGAAGGCTGGTTTTCTCTTGGCTTTTAAGTAGTGATGGGCCGAAGCTGGACAGCTAAACCCTCAAAAGCTGAGACTTCATACAAAGACCAGTTTCGATTTAACCCGTTTGAAGCTCTAGTACTTGTTTAATTATGTAGATTCTTGCTGCGCAAGCAGCCGGAGGCCATCAACAAGCCTTCTTTCCTGGCAGGGCCTGATACCTTGGGTACTGCACCCACCTGGGAATAGTCTATATTTCGATTCTCCGTATTTAAGAAGAGGGGCTCCAAAAACAATACTATAGATATTATCCAACTGTTTCTCAGTGGGGGCAGTATCCACTTTATACCACTTACGCTACATCATCTTGGAACACTTATTGGAACTCCTGAGTTCTGTGCTTGAAGCCAGACTGAACCTCTTCTGAAATCATCTGGCTCTGTTATCAACCAATGATGTCCACTGAAAATCTGAAAGAAGAGACTTGACGACCCTAAACCGTCAACCTCAAACCCTAAATTTCGTAAACCCTGCAGAATCCCCGACATTTTTGTCATCCTTTCATTCCCATGTATCCTCAGGCCTTCAGGGTGCCCCTCTTGGAACCTAAGCCACCAACCCTTAAAACCCCAAACCTTACATCCTAAATCCCCAAGCCCCAAACCCTAAACCCTAACCCCTGAACCCTAAACCCTAACCCTTAAATCCTGAAATCCTAAGCCCTAATCCCTAAATCCAAACCCCTCAACCCTAAACCCTTATTTCACCATACTCCCTAGACCCTATAATCCCTAAACTGTCCCCAGGCCTTGCTTCCATTGATCCTGGCGCCTGGTCTGTTATAGGGGAGCATATAGGATTTAGGGTTTACGGTCTAAACTCCTTTAGAAAGGGTTATATAGGGCATCATATAGGGGACTATCAAAGGGGTTACTAAGTGGGATACTTGGAGTTTACACTACGGCTCACATGACTAGATGCTTAGGTGGCTCTGATGAAGCTTCTGAGCGGAGAGCGTCCGAATCAGTTGGACGAACAGATGCCCTACAACTACTCCGGCGTCTCTGAGCAGGCTCGTCTGGGAGTTTGATTGTAGGGCGCTCACGGGGGTTCCTGTTCAGGTTTCTATAGGGGGAATCTGGAGAAACTCATACCTCGGGTTTTTTGGTTCAGATTTCTGAGTCTGGAACGCAAGGCTTTGGGCTACGGAATCTAGGCCTTCGAGAGTAGCTTAGGATTAACTTAGCCGTCAGTTGTACTTGGCATGATGAGACGAATGTTTCGCACCTTGTTGAAGGGGAGATGCGTATGGACGCAGGGTGCCTGCACGGGTGGAATGCTCGAAGGGGGTATGCAGGGATTACGGAGAATGTGGTACTTCGGGATCACTGGGGTGAGGTGTAATCGACAGTGACCCTTCGTACCACCGCATAGGATGCCTCCGAATTTGGGACTCTCTTGGGGGGTCCTTGATGCCTGGATACCCCCAGCTTCCATCTTCCGTGTGAAAAAAGGTCATGAAAGCAGGTATATCCCCCGAGCACTAACTAAACTCACCCATAAACGCAAGGGTTCGGGAACTGTATCCGGACACTGCCGCCCCCAAGTTCTTGTTCAAGCAAGATTCAGCCTAGCGCTGTGCTTTGGACATTTGAAGCATCTCATTTTGAAGCATCTCAATATATAGTCCCCCTTAAGTAGAGAGAATATGGCTTTGGGCACATAATAAGATCCCCATATACCCCATATTCTATCTACTTAAGGGGGACTATACTTCAATGCAGGCAGGCCTTGGGGGGGTGTTGAGCTGTGCGTCCTAGGTTTGCATCCGGGGTTCCTTTAAATGAGGGTGAAGGTTCAGGCTTGATGGGTCTGGATCTGATTCCCCCCTTTGGGCTTCTGGATTTCTTAGA